TGGGGGCCCCTCAAAGGGGGTAGGGCTAAACATCTTTCTTGGAAATTGGTAGTTACGGGTTTCGGGACCCAATCTTCTCGATTCTAACCTTGTTTTATAATTTTGAGACGATTTTTGCAATGAATTTTGTCTTATAAATATACGATAATTAATTTGGGACAGAGGGAGTAGAATAATAAACATTAATAGTAGGGGGGAGACCTATTAGAAGCTGCCATGTTCATAAACGCAGCAACACAGGTGCAAACGGGTCAAAAGAGGTGTAGGACAGCTAGCAACTTGGCGGGTCAGAATACCACATTGGGCTTGGGGACAAAGTGATATTTGAGTGACTCATTCTGGACATGGGGATACGAATGTGTGAACAGGACAAACTAAACATTTGAATTGGATTTCTGGTGGCGTCCCTTGGGCTACCGCCTTGCCGCCATATAGGCAGCTATATATATAGTTGCCCAGCTCTCATTTTGTGCCGTTCCAGTTTTCAGTCTATCCCGCTCATTCTTGATCGAGTCCCAAGTCGAACAGGATGCACAAGCCAAGCCCCGGTCGGTCACAAAGTGGTTGCGCCCCTTTACGCATGGCATCCTAGGGCGGCATTGCTCCCATCACTCTCCACCACTTACGCAAGCCTTTGCATTGTGTCTGGCATGACCATAGTTATGTGCGCGGGGCGGCCCGCTGCGACTCTTGTGGTCCCTTCTACGGCGCACCTCATCGCCTCGTGCCAACTTGCCACGGCCCTTCTCCAACCCGGCACAGTACTCCCAGGGGCATCACACTGTCCAAAGTTCTGGGCCCCCCGATCACACCACAGTTGAAGGGTCCCCCGTGTCGTGGCATGGCACATGGTAAGTATGCATCATTCTGATTGGGGGTGCAATCTACAATGCCTCACCCCTTGCGAGTTCCTCCGCCAAATTGGTTCAGTGACCTTTTGGGTGAAGTCTCACGGTGAGACTCTCAACGTGAGACTCTCACCCAGCGCCCCACCGCCTGCCATGCTTCCCCACGCTCTGTTTCCCCTCCGATCGATGCACAGCATGCTGGTCACCCGCTCACCCTGTCATGTTGTCGCTCGCCGCACTATTGCTTGCATTGTCTGCCTTCCCCATTGCATCAACCAAGGCTGCAGCGTCTCCACCAATCCAACGCGCCTCCATTTCCCTTGATCATGCCAATGGCGGGCGGGCATCTTCCATGCATGGAAGGCCTCCCATTGCCGCATCTTGTGCCAGAACCTACGGCGATCCTTACCAGTCAACGCCCAGCCAAACCCGCCACAAGTTGCATAGATGTCCACGCCAATCTCTGGCTCAAGTGCAAGAAGCAAGAGCCAGCACGTCCATCAGTCTCGCCATGCTGGTCTCCACAACCAGCGCAACCTTGTCGCTGAGCCTCACTCCAAAGCCATGTTACGTTGCTCACCGTTTCCGACTGCGCTCACACACGGTCGCTCCCAGGCACGGGAAGCAAACTGCGACTAGATGATGTTACAAAATAATTCTTTCGCTCATGTATTGTCCGCTGCAAAGCGTGTCCAACTAATGTCCCTCCCCATCGTTCCCCGTTTCACCATATTTAACACCATGTTTAATTCACCATAAGAACTCCATCCTCCACACAATCACTTGTGTATCTTTCTCGTCTTCACAATGGCAATGGCGGAATTGCATGGGCCGCCTTGTGCTACTTACATGGCAGCGGCCTACCTCACCCATGCATGGAACTTGCATGCCCACTAGGGGCTGTGATGAGCTCGAGGGATGCTGAAATGACGTGATGGGTGGCTAGGCGCGGTGCTGAATGTGAAGGCCTGCTCAGCGATAGGGGCCAAGAGCGAGGCACAGCATAAGCATGGGGGAGCAAGCGGGGGCAGGCTCAGGCAAATGGTGGGCGGCGGGGCGCATGGCGTGCGCGCGACTGGACAGGAGGCCATGGAATCGAATCAAGAACACGCTGATGTGATTATGGAAGCCGCGGGGCAGTCCTGCTCATAGGGAAAGCAAGTCTAGAAGGTTCTGGGCATTGGGAAGGTTCGGGAAAGATCAATTCTAATGTAGAAGTGCTATGACAGCTTAGGGAACATCTGGTTGATCGGGGAGGATCTTGAGAGATTCTGGAAGGTTGTGGAGAGGCTGGTCGGTCCATAATGGAGAGAGGGTTGTCACCATAACGTTCAAGGTTCCGGCGACCCAGCACCCTTGCGCCACGTGGCGATTGATGGTGGACAGGCACTGAGGCATTGTAAGGTTGGATCTGAGTGTAAAAGTTTTGGTGACCGTCGATGCCATGTGTCCATACCGGGTGTTGAGCCTGGATCAAGTGTGTGTGGACGGAATCGCTGCATGTAATCAGAGCCTGAACCAACTGGGTGAAGTATCAGTCTTCCCTGGAAAGGGGTTTCCTGTACGAAGCCTGGTCTGTGAGGGAAATCGTTGCGGTGTGTCATATGCAGACGACTGGTACCGACTCTGGTAAGTTGTGTGTGCGCTGTGAGGCGATTAGAAGACCAAGGTTTGGTCGGAGGTGGAGCCGCGCCCTTAGTGTTCACATGTGTAGCACGCTTTCACTCCACGTGACCTGCCTCTTAAGTCAGAGCTATAAACGCAGCCAGGAGTCTATTCTTTGTTGCTTGCTGTTGGGCCACAGTCACATCTTACGAGGTCGCCCCTGTGGCTTTGGAAACCACCCGCCTCCACCAACAGGTGACATAGGCCAAACTGGTTTGCAAAGGGGGGCACAGCTGCAGAGGAGCGTTGAAGACTCTCAGAGTACAAAAAGTAACATCGTGCCAAGTTAGCAGTAGCGAGCCCACTAGCATAGCCTCGTTCGCGTAATGAGCGGTGACCTGAAAGGGTGCGGTCCCTAAATAAGAGACCCTGACGTATAAACCCCTCGTTGCAAGTGCGTTAAGATTGAGTGTACATCGGCGCCGGTCAAGACAAATCTAGAACTCGAAAAGGGGAGGTCGAAATAGCCATCTGCTGACCACGGCACAGGTGGCGCTACTTCGTAGGAGCTGTCAGGAAGCCGTAGAAAAGTAGTCAATGCCTTGAGCGGCAGTGTAGGAAGTCAGTCGTGGCTCATCAGCCCGAATGGGCAGCCATGTGAGGGTACTTGAACAAAAAGTATGTGGCGATATTGCCATAATACTTAGCGAGAGTTATATCCAATATAGGGGCAATGGCAGCCCTCTCTTGTGCGCATTATGGCAAAAGGCACCTGTGAAAAAGGCAGAATTCCTGAGAAAGAGTTGGCCATTTCATCGCAAAACTAATACGATCAGTGTTGGATAGATTACTGAAAATGTAGGCCATGTTACAGCTGCTGGATGGCAGCAGAATAGGCCAAAAGGGACAGTGAGTCTGCTTCGACAATCGCTCCCATTTATGGCAGAATTGTGGGCAAAAACATACAGTTTCATGGCAGCCTTGGATGTCACACGATAACATTGGATGATGATTCGCGGAGGCAACGGCAACTTGCAGCAACGCGCTCGAACATGGCTGTGAGAGCATGGTTGCCAAGGCTCGGGGGTGATGATGACGATGGCAGAAATGAATGGGCTGCGTTGCGTTGCTTGCATGGCAGCAGCCTGCCTAACCGTGGATGGATTTTGCATGCCCATGACGAGCTGCAATGAGCCCCCAAGGGACGCTTGAATCCACGACGCGCGGGACTGCTGGGCGCAGCCTGCATCTGAAGGCCTGCCCAGCGATGGGTGTGGCAATATAAGTGCTGCGTGATGATCGACGTGTAACCTAGGCCGACAAAGGCTGAGCCGGTCGGTGGAGATATTTTGGCTTCAATGAACAGCCTTCTTTGCTCACGAACACTGAAGTGAGGCGCCTCGCTTCGGCAGCACCTGTGTGAGGAAGTGGAAGGCTTGGATCCTCACATTAGTGAGGCAGCAGCAGCAGCTCAGCAGCACTGAAGGGCAGCTGCACTTTAAGTTGCATGCAATCCTGTCTTGGGCGGGTTGCGCGAGCAACCCACTGCCAAGCAGGTCGACAGGGGGGCGGTTGTCAGCGTGGGGGCCCCGCTTAGGCACAGCACATGATCGTACTTGAGCGGGATGGTGCACCAGGTGGAGTCATCCATCCCACTAACGACATGGCGACCATGAAATCCAGAAAAATGAGATGAAAAACCCTCCCACAGTGCACCCAGCTCTGCGGGAAGCCAATGAAATACCCGGGTTCTTTGGCCTACCAACCCATCCTACCTGCCTTCCCAAAAAAAGCGGCCCACTTCTTAGCCATCGGTGCACCCCAGACCCCTGAGCGCAACCAGGCGACGCAGTCAAGAAGACCAGTCAGCCGACCATTGAAATCATTTCCTCTCACACCACTCGAAACTACAAATACAGATGCGTGGTCCCACGAATTGTCCAAAGGGCGCTGCCTGTCCTGAAGCAACTGCCGCCATCTAGGCAAAGACAACAAAACGTGCCTCCGTGGCACCGTGACCCCACCCCCTGACCCAAGAAACTGCCGCTATGGTCAGTGCAGCCTCTAGTTATTTCCCTGGGGGCATTTGCGTTGGATCAATTCATAAAAAAGAATAGAGGGCCCAAGCGGGGCAGCCTCCACTCGGCAACCTGCTGCACTGCGTCTGCAAACTATAGGTGGGCAACTTTGGGGAGGAGATTGGTGGACTGAGGCTGGCTGGCCAGCAATGCTGTCAGCGGGAAGAGGCCCCCATTGGAGGGCTACGGGCCATGATGCCCTGGTGACTGTGCCAGGGCCAGACGATCTCTTCCCAGTCAAGCCAGAGTCAGCTGCCAACACAAAGAAAGAGCACGGCCATGTGCATGCTGCACAGGTCTTGCTCTTCCAGCAGCAGCGCCCTCCTCCAAAAGGGCCTGTGCCCCTGTGCATGTGTGCCTCCATGGAGATGTGGCACACCTCAGGGAAACGGAAACAACCTCCCAGCGCACCACACTCTGCAACAGCCCATGGCGCTGCCTATCGGGCAAAATCCCAGGATCTGTTTCGTCAAGATACGCTTGGAAAACGATTGGCACCATCTGGATACGAGTCTGAGTGGACGATGCCCTCAAGTAGGGACGAGTGAGGGTCCTCATACTGCGCGTCCTCACACGATGTGTCTCCGCTCGCCCCAGCCAAAGGCATGAACGCTGACTGCACGTCTATCGTTTCATCAGTGTCCTGCGTCCCTACGCTATTGACTGCTATGCTGTTGGTGCCACCCCTGCTTGTCTCAGACGCAGGCTCTATTTCTTCCTGCACTGATGGCAGCATGTGCACCATGGGGATCAACGAAGCTGGGGGGCTCGCGCGCTCTTGCCTCACCCCTGCTGACCTGCCACCAACAGAAGTGAGCCTGGACCCCGGAGAGATCCTGTTCCAGCCAGAGGACCCAAGCATCATCCTCCTGCCAGACTCGTCGCCCCCTGAATTGGACCACCCGCTGCCACCAGATGCAACAGGGCTGGCATGGGAGGAAGGTTCCGATGTGGGGTTCAGAGCTCCTGCCTTGGATGCCACAGAACCTTGCCGCGCCTCACTGTTCACCACCGAGCTTGGCCCAAGACCGCCACTCTCAGATTTGTCCTGAGAAACTGGATTCCTGTTCATCTCTAACTCCATGCTGTGGCCTCTCGCCCTCCCTAAACTGCTGGCAGCGCTGGCTGCTGCATCCACCCGATTCGCAGACGCCCCGCTCTCATTTTCACCAGAGGTCCCCTCCCCCCAGTGGCCCTCTGCTGGCTCGCACTGCCACGATATGTCAAAATGCTCCGCCTCAGCACCTGCCTTTGGTGCATCTGGGTCTTGTTGGGTTGACACAGAGACGGTGACAACACAATTGAAAGGAGCAACGTACGCCTGGCTCAGGTGAATCTCCACATCTCCTGATTTTGAGCGGTCCACCACAGAGTCGCCGCCCTGTCCCCACATTTGGGTGGATGGAAGAAACATCGAGTGGGGAAATTTTATGGAGTTCGAAATGTCTATCGACCCACTCAGCATCGAATAACTCTCGTCCCGGGTAGATGAGCTGGCAGCTGCTGAGGTGTCCACAAGGGGAATGCCCACCTGCTCCGCTATCAGTTCCAAGATCTTTGGGGCAGTCATTCTGCCCAGCCCAGCTGCAAGTCCCATGTTTCTCAATCGTACCTCTTCAGAGTTCGAAAACATCCCTTCATCCACTTGCTTCTTCAAAGCAGCAAACACCCTTGCTATGAACTCGAATTCTGGGCGGTTCTCTGGTTTGGGAGATATACACACAACGCAGAGCATGGCATAGGGGATGGGGCACATGATCGGGAACTTGGGAAACAGAGGGTGGTACTGCATGCCCGTCTTTGCGTTCATGTGGTAGCACTTCTTCGAGTGGTAGAGCTCCCACATGAATACCCCAAAGGAGAATACGTCGGCCTTCTTGGACAGTATGCCCTGGTGGCACAGTTCTGGCGCCATGTAAAATGGAGTGCCTGCCCGCTGGTTGGATATGTGGCTCTGCAATAACCCCATCTTGATGCTCAACCCAAAATCTGCTATCTTTGCGACGCCCAGCGCATCTGACTCGTCGTTGGGGTCTTTCTTCAGCAATATGTTCTTCGAACTCAAGTCGCCGTGCACGATGTTGTGCTGATTGTGCAGGTGGCACATTCCTGAGGCCGCCTCAAATGCGAGCTGACACATGACGCTCAGCTTGGGACGACTGTCCTCCTTGTCCAATACCTTCTTGCCATCCAGGCATTCTCGCACACTACCCCCATCGCAAAACTCTTGGACGATGTAAAGCTTCCAGTCCACAACCGCGCCCGCACTGAGCGAGCTGGGCTCGATGTTCACATGTTTGGGGTCCTTGAAGTCCGCGCCCATCATGGTCGAAGCGTGCAGCCGTTTGAAGGAATAAGCATATGTCTGGACAATGTTCTTGTGTGCCACGCTGGAGCTGATGGCGGCCTCAAAAATGGCACGCTGTCTCTGCTTGTTTGATGAGTCTGCCAGGTCTTGGAAGACCACAGTCTTAATTGCCACAGGGATGTTCTTCCAGGTGCCTTTGTACACAACGCCAGAACCGCCTGCTGCGATTTGGCGTTGAATCCTTGCAGAGGAGTCTTCGATTCCCGCAGAAGCCAATGAAATGGCACCAATGAGGGATTCCCTTGTTAGGCTGGTGGCAGAAATGTCGCCAGGCCCCTTGGCCTTCATTGAATGGATGAATTCTTGGCTGCTTGTTCCACTCTCGCCTTGAGATGATGGTGACCTTGCAGACAGCCATCGACGCTCCACATCCTGCTCTTCGCCATCCTTCTTCAAGGCCCCCACCTCTGCCAGATCCGCATTGTTCTGAAACTTATTTTTTCTTCTGGATGACTTGTACCAATAACAGAACAGGGCCACTGTGATCGTCCAGAGGACAACGCCCGCAACGACAAGCCCTACACCAGTGACGTTTGTTGTCTGAGGATCTTCATCGGAAGTATTCTTGTCCTCAAAGTCTGATGACGTGAGGGCATAGTAAGATGTGTTGTTTCCATCCTCATCGCCTGACGAGTCAATCTCCTTGTAATAGTTTGACTCTGACAAATCAGTGGTGACCTCGGGGTCTGTGCTATCAGTGTCCTCAAACATCACACACCTGTCATGAACACCAGGTCACACCAGAATTCAAAACAGACAGTGGCACATGAACAGCAGAACACACAGACCAGAAAACTCAGCAGGTGCCAGGCAATACTGGAAGGTAGTGCCAGAGCCATGGGCAGCTGTGACAAGCGCCAAATTTAGCTTGGCTTACTGTGCAGAGACATGGCAACGAGGTGCACGAGCCCATCAACAATGTTTGTGACAATGTCCACAGAAGCACAACAGCACAGAAGCACTTCGAGACTGTGCCATCTTTGCTAGGCAGCGTCCACCAAAACTCTTGTCCAATTACCATAGCCAAACGTGCGTATGCTGGCTGCAGAGACCGACTGTTGACCATCTGCTCGACCCTATGCAGGCCAGGGATGAGGCATCTGCCATACAGTATACGGCTGGTAGGCTCCAGGCTAAGTCGACGGCCTGCGTATCATCGCGTGGAAACAAAGTACTCAACCACCGCTGGCTGCGAGCCATGCGCCCGCTCCATAGCGGGTTTTCCTTCCCGTTGAAACAGGCCACGTCCACGGGGATCTGGGCTCCGCCCACCTTGGATCGGCCACCTTCTCGCCGGCCGGCGGGGTGCACGTCATCGTCGTGTTCTCCAGGCACATCCCCCACCCCACGAACCGCCTGAACCGGATGTCGCCGCCGACGGTCTCGTAGTCGCTGATCTGGATCGCCTCGTTCAGCGCCCGCAGCAGCGCCGTGTCCCCCTGTATGGTGTTCCTGTGGTACAGCAGCAGCCGCGCCAGCCCGGTGACGAAGTCGCATCCGTGCACAAACACCGCGTGTCGCCCCACCAGCCTGCACCCCGCCCCGTCCCTGTCGTACTTGAACATCTCCCGGTGGAACAGCACCTCGATGCCAGGCTCGTCCACGCTTCTGTCGAAGCAGCCCGGCTCGCTCAGCAGACAGCCCGCCCGCCGGTCGTCCCTCTTGCCCAGCTCCAGGTACACGGCCTCGTTGAGGACCGCGACCCCGTCCAGCCGCAGCTGGTGCTGCACGTCCAGGAACCCCCGCCGCAGGTCCTTATTGAACGCCAGCCGGCGCTCCGTCCCCCCGGACGCCAATGTGAACGGCCTCTCAACCGGTATCGGGCTGTTGCTCCCTGACACCGCCCGCAGCAGGCACCGGGAGAAGCCCAGGTCGCGCGCAATGTCCGCCCTCAGCTCCACGTCCTGCGTCTTGCGCGCCTTCCGGAACAGTGACACGTCGCGCGTCGAGTTCACCACCACCGCCTCCACCACGTCGCTCTCCGCCGGCTCCAGGGCAAAAGGCTCCTCCAAAAACACCAGCGCCTCCTCGAAGGATGCGCGGCCCACCGTCACGTCCCTGAGGTCGATCCGCCTCGAGCCCAGCGTGAAATTACCCCCGGTCGAATTCGCGTCCCCCATAGCCTCCAGCGCCCCCCTGAGCGCGCCGAAAGGCCCCTCCGTCACGTATACGTCCACGTTCGAGTAAACGAGGCTGCCCGACGGGCCCAGGTCCCACAGCAGCTCGTCCAGCCCCACGCGCCCCGCCCGCACCCTCGCCAGGTCCATCTCCAGGTTGCAAATCCTCAGCCGCCCGTTCACCGTCGCCATCTTGAAATCTTCCAGCACCCGGAGAGTGGTCCTCCGCCTGACGCCGCACATTGTCAGGTCCCCCTCCAGGCTCATCCTCGGCAGGAATGACAGCGACTCGAGCGCCTCGTCGCCGGCGACGCAGATCAGGTCCAGCCCCTGCGCCGCCCTGCGCGGCGTCAGCGCTGCCTGCATCTGCCGCGCGTTTTGCACGAACTCCCTGCCTGGTAGGTCCCCCGCATCAGCGCAGGTCGCGTCCCCGCCCACGCGCCACAGGGACCCCAGGACCGCCAAAGACGCGACCAGGGTGCCCAATCTCGAAAACAGCGCCAGCCGGGAAGTCATCGCCCCGGCGATGCCGGAAAGCAGCCTCCCGGGGGCTGCGGCGCCTGAGGGCAGGCCACCCGCGACTTGGGCACCCCGTGGCGCGGCGTGGGGCGGCGGGCAGCGCGATCTGGTGTGGGCGCGTGATGGGGCCAGTGTGGCGCGATAGTACTCTGCACGCGGTGACCTACAACCCCGAGGGCAGCGCTTGAGACCTGTGACAGACTCCCGGGGTGGGAGGGTGCAGCCGGGAAGCGGATGTAGCCCTCACGAGGGGTTGATTGGTGTCCGTCAAGACCGGAGGTACCGAGCCGGGACGGGCATCCAAGGTTCGCATCTGGCGCCGGGTGGCCCGCGGGCGGATTCGGCCAATCGTAAGGTGTTACGTGCGTCAGGGGGTTCCGGGGGCCGTAGGACTGGCGAGCGTGCCTGACGGGTGAATTGCGGCCTGACAGGGGTTGGCGCCGCTGTACGCCGGGACTGTGGATAAGAAAAGCCTCTCACTCGATGTGCACGCCGGGGGTCGCGGAACACGTGAGGGGTACAAGGAAACGGAAGCGGCGGCCTCGCGGGGGCCCGTCTGTCCTGGGGGCGGGTACGTGGCGCCGAGTGACGAATCGCCCGCGCATTATTGAAGCATTTGGTGGGGTTTCGATTCCAGATTGCACCACATTTAAGCCCCAGGGCGTGGCCCGGTACTGGCGCTTGCCAAATCCACGTACAATCGCGTCGTCCCGACACTCAGTTTGGTACACATGACTGGCAGACGGGGATTGACAGGGTGACTGAAAACCAGGGACCAGTTGTATGTTTTCCCACGGACAGCCACACAAGGCGGTACTGTAAGCGAGGAAAACACGGTTCGACAACGGCATGCATCGAGAACAACAGTTTGGGAACTGCATGAAAAGAGCCAAACAGTATTCCGAGTGAATTGGGTGTCGGTGTTGGACGCGGCGAACTCACCTAGCCATCGTACTGGATGAAAGTCCGGACGAGTGTGACTACCGCGGCTGGGACAGCGCACACCGTACTTAAGGTGCAGGTCGAGCACAGGCGGAATGGGACGCCTCTCACGCAGGTCACTGACCTAAACTAAGCGCCCATACTTCGACAGTCTTACAAACATCCCCGTAACGCCATCAACTGTCAACATCCTTCCAATATCGTACCAAGTGGCACAAAATCCGCATATTCCTCTTATTCAATTCACAGTGTTCCCATTTTCAGCTGGAGCAACCCCTTGAATATCCCCACTGCTGGCTGATTTCCCATTGTCAACATGCTTGTCTTGTTCGCACGAACCCCCAAACTTCGCGTTAATTTATTCACTAAAGAAATCATGATGGATGGTTGTGGAGGGGATGCGGGTTGTTACTAACATGTAGTGATTTCTTTAACATCTCATCAGTGCACATCTTACATTATTTCCTACGTCTGATCCCACTTAGAGCTCCAAATCAATTTTTGACGCCTGCTTGAAGGGCTGTGAGCGACAAGACAACACGTTCTATCTCATATCTGAAGCCTACTGCCTCTTCTCGGTCAGCGCATATGTGCCGATGCAAACCTCATTGGAGGAACACCCCCTTTAGAAGATTCCTGTCTATTCAAAGGTGCAAGGGCATAGAGAGGGTTGTTGAATATTTGCACCAATGCAATTATTTCAAATGCTGTTGCTATGATCCAATTTGACATATCTTAATGTGCGATGAGAGTAAAGAAAGTGCCTTCTGAGACAATTTAGATTGGACGCATTGAAGTCGAGTTTGTCCCGTAATGTAAACACGCAATTTCCATTTTTGAGATCGTCCATAACATACTAATACTTTATTGATGACTCTTCAATCAAACTTACATGTGACAGTCAGTCAGAACAGGCAGAGCGCCTGTGCATGGAACGCGCCTGCATCTAGGCTTGGCCGCAGGTGCAACTGGAGCACTACACTTTTCTTGCACCAATCAAACTAATGCCAACCGGCAGTATAGAGTCGCTGGTCTCAAACCTGCGCGGCGCGGCTCATATTTGGTAGATATGCTTATCATAGGGACGGCCTCGGTGCGGGTACAGTACATATCAGGAGCATTCCAGTACGACCAGTGCAGCTACCATTTTCAGCAGCAGTGCTGCTTCGTTACAAACGAAATACGGTGCCCACTCGAAGTGTGCATCACCCGTACCTAGATGGAGCGGTTTTCTCTGTGTTCACCTCAATACGGGTTTCAGTACTGACACAGATACTGACCATGGTACAATTAGTAGGGATCGGCAGCTCTTGGTGCGGGTCGCCGTACCACACAAATAAACCAACGTACTTGCTAGTCCAGGTTTCTTATTGCGTGCTTGGAGAGACCATGAGAATAATTGAATTCCAGGCCCCAGATGTGCGGCGATTCAAAGCCCTACCATTTGCATTATACAAGTCCGTTCCCGACAAGAGTACGAGGGTATCAATTAACTCGCAGGTGATGTTGTGGCGGGTTTTGCAACAAAAATATAATGAGAGTGTGGTGAAAATGGGGTCTCTCAAATGGGCACCACCTCGGCCCCACGTGAAAGTGTGCTGGCCAGATCTCTTGAGCTGCATTGGCCGAGCGCCTGTCATGCTCCAGCAGAAAAGTCGATGTGCCCACGTCAGTGCCTGAGAGCCATCCCTCCAGGGGAAATGTGTGCAGACAGGGGCACCTTTCAAACGTGCTGTGTCACGCACTCGTTCTTTGGACCTATTTGCCACATTGCATTTAAGGGGACTGGCAGAATCGATTCGGTGGGCTGCAGAGTATTGCACATGCATCCACCTTACGGTGCATGTGTTTTCAGTATGATACTTTTTTTTCTGAATTCCAATGTATCACACTATGATACGAAAAGAGGAGCTCCCCCACAAATTGTGAAGCCCAACAGGACCCTTTTCCAGCGAGAACCGATATAGGGTCCCAAACAATGAGAGAGGAAGAAAAATCAATGCCCGATGAACGTTCCACGTCCCAGTTGAAAAGTCGCAGTGCGGTACTGTTGAAGTTGGCCATTTCCAGGCCATAAATGACAAGGCAAATGTCTACATCAACTTCATCTACCCAGCATCATCAGGCAGCATTTACAGTGCCACCAACTGATCGACAATAGCTACTTCATCAAATACATTTTACAGCTTGACATACCGACAGCTCGAGGAGCAATTTGATCATTACAATCCAGCCGGATTTGACCAAGGAGCGAGCTTTTCAGCAACCACAGTTCCTGGATTTTCCCCAACATCCAGTGATAGTATTCTCCACGACCGTCCAAGCATCAAAGACTACGATTCCGACCGACTTTGGCACCCAGCATGGGACAATGTCATCATTGCATATGCCAACTACCCGTCAAATGGCCAGTCCGACGTCCAGGCATAGCCCAAGACTCCAAAAACGGCAAAAGCGCACAGCAGCGCTCCCCCGCATCCTGTCCGTCCTGCACAGCGAGCCCCGCCTCCCACTCCCATTGCCCAGCAGCCGGTTGGCGGTTTCCCAGCAGCCATGACTGCAGCGCGGTTTCGCCAGGTTGAAAGCTGGCGTTTCCTTATCACCCAGTGGCTCGCCCTGGGCGACCTCTGGCTCTCGAAATGGTATCTCGAGAAGGCTGACTGCCCAAAAGGGTACTGGAGCTTCGGGCTGACAGTGATACTACCGTTCAGCGCCGAGGACACGCAGTGGCTGCACTACCAGCGGGACCACGGGGAGGATTCGCTGCGTTACCGACTACAAGAGGAAGCGCGCGAGGCGTACTGCCACACCATGTCAACGCGGCTGACGTCTAGGCACGTGCCTGGGCCTGGGGAAAAGCCGGAATGGAACGCTGACTACAAGCCTGAAGCTGTGAACTGCCCCTGGACCCTCCAGGTGCACCCCCATCCGCATCGGCCATACACCGGCATGGGGACGCAGGCCTTTCGTCAACGGATCGCGGCGATGATCGAGCATGAGGGGGGACGAGTCCAGGCCTGGCGCGGTGCCGAATTGAACTACTACTACCGCCAAGTGCACATCAGCCTCGACGTCAGCGTGCCATTTTCGGACGCGCGCTGCTGGCGCATGGAAGGTGGTGGTGTGACTCGGCGCGAGTACGCCGCCACACACCCATCAAGCGCTTCCAAAGTCTTCCCGCGGGAGCGGAAGGATTTCGGGATCCAGACTGAGCCGAATGCCGCCGTACTGCCCTCGGCTGCCTTCGCGGAAGCTAGCGCGATTGTGGCGCAATGACTCAACGCGGGCAAACCACCGTACACAAATGTCGAGCTGCGCGCGGAGGAGCGCGCCTAGCGGAGGGCCATCCGACATCAGCGCCGGGAAGCGCGGATGCGTGGTCAACCCCAGGATGACGTCATGGTGGACGTGCCCGCTGATGGGCCGCTAGCAGTACCGGCTAGAGGTGGCCACCCGGATCCGTTAATAGCGGACAGAGGTTAATTTCCGTTAATTTTCCGTTAATTAACGGAAAATAACGAAAAAAGACAAAAATTAACTAAAAATTAGCGGATTTTTGGATTTTTGGGATTTTTGGGTTTTAGTCATACTTATAGTTTATGGAATTCGCTATTAGAGAGTATGTTTGTATTTTATTTCAACCTATGCATACTAGATTTTCAACTAGCCGCAGCTTGTTGTGATTTTTGGGTTCTTGATTTTGATTTTTTTTGTTTTTTCTGAATTTTTCTCCCTTTTTCTTTAACGAAATTTAACGGACAGCTGATAAAAATTAACGAACCGGATTTAACGGACCGGATGGCACCTTTGAGTGGCCACCTCTAGTACCGGCTACCATCGGCGCTGCCGAGGTGACGACACTAGCCCTGCCACCCGGTTTTGATGGGACGCGCAACGAGAGGACGATGACACCATCACTCCCACCAGGATTCGGTGGCTGAAGGGCACGGACTACGGAAAGTTGGTGGACAAGCCGGCGATCGTGACAGGGCGGTGCGCAGGCTGGCGAATGACGCGATGATTGGAGGCCGCCTGGCGTGGTTTTCGGTCTTTTC